ATACAACTATCTCCCTGCTTTGGATTTCCACTTAATGTTTTAGTTTATCCTTAGAGAGAATATTTTGCTCTGTTATCACAGGATGGAAATGAAATTATTTGGTTAAAGTAACTGCCAGTAAGATAAGGTGTGCTGGCATCTCAATGCAGGTAGGCACTGAAATATTAAACAGAAACTCTGTATGATCTTTTCTCTTTTCAATATTTTAAATAGTGTATTTTAATATTTTGATAAATGTTTTTAATGTTTATGTATGTATATAAGAATTTGTGTCCCGGCATTGAATGTTTGCCGTATATATGCTGTTCTCACACTTCGGTGTGGGAAGGGCAGAATATAAATGTTTTAAATAAATAAACAAATATTTTGAGCATCCATTTGATGGGTGCAAATGTACTGATTGGCATGTTGATTGATTTTAGAGCTCTTCATTTTGGCTCAAACACATAATAAGGCTCGTTATACTTCTGAATTCCTGCAACTTTTAGATTCAACTCTGGAATTATGAGTAAGAGGTGGATGAATAGTATTTCAAATTCATACATGTTTTATTTGAAGTTCAGAAGTAGACTGTTCCCCCTTCCCAGTTAATTCTTTGGTTTAATTCTCCGCCCTCCTATTTTTTTATTTAAAAAAATCACTCATATTTCTTTTCCATTTGTGAAAAACATAATTTCCTTCAGTTTTGCATTTTTTTTTAAAAAAAATGCCCAAAAACAAAGAATATGCCCACCTGGATATGTTGTAATGTAGATTTTGCTACCTCTCAATATCTAAGAGCATACTCATCTTGTCCTACCGTGCCATAGGTATCGTATGGACTCCTGTATAAGTTGACCTCATGTATAAGTTGGGGGCAGATTTTGGGACGAAAATTATGGGCTTTGATATGAGTCATGGATAAGTTGAGGGTTGTTCTGTAGAGAGAACAAAGCACTTGGCTACTATCTCCATTTCTCCAGCCAGACATTCAAAAAGGCCAAAAGAGGCACCACGGTGGGGAGAAGATGGTGCTTCTTTTCATAGAATCATAGAGTTGGAAGAGACCTCGTGGGCCATCCAGTCCAACCCTCTGCAAAGAAGCAGGAATATTGCATCTTGGCAGGGGGTTGGACTGGATGGCCCATGAGGTCTCTTTTAGGTTTTCCCAAGATGGGTTAAGCTCAATCTAGCCTTTCTCCATTCTACTTAGAGAAGGATGTGGTTCATTTTTTTAATAGGGGTTAAGATACAGTATTCGTGTTGACTTGTGGATAATTCAATTTTGGTTTTATTTTAGTTTGATTTTTTTTAGTATACAGTTCCAGAGTAGTTCCAGAATGGCCAGTGTTTTTTTCCCCAAATGAAACATAAAAATTGCTGATTCTCAAACTGAATGTAACTGACTAACAAAAAGCAATGATGGTTCAGAAGCACGGAATAATATAATTCTGAGTATCTGACATCCCTTTGGAGACAAAAGGTGTTGTAATCACCTAGTGTAGGCAGAATTGATCCAATAAGGTGCAGAGAAGGATTGGAAACTCCTCATAGTATCATCACATAATCCATGTATGTACTACAACTTTCAGATTGTGTTCTGGTACGGCTGTACCAGGAGCTCCAGCTTATATTGCTATTTGTTGAGTGTTGCATGTTTTTTTAAAGTTCTATGCATTTGCAGTTAGATGGCTTTCCTTACTTTGCAGTTATTGGGTCAATGACCTGTCAATTATCATTAGGTTCCCTAGTTCTGCCCCATTTTTGGGTTTTGGAGGGAATAGGAACCATTTTAGGTCAGTCCACACAGAGAAGTCTTTCTTACAGGACTTAAACCAGGACCTCCTGTAAAAGGCTTCATCATTTACAGCTTGGCTGGGGAGAAATAGCCCCAAAGCTTGGTCAGGGATATACAGTCTCAACACAGCTTTTGCTGCGGACTTTACAGTTTGCTGAGAAACTTACAGCCTCTCAGCTCTCTTGCTAGGGATCCAGTCCCATAGCGCTTCAGCCAGACATCACTGGGAAGTGAACATCTTCCTCCTCCTCTGTTCGGTAAGGGTCTCTGTTTGGTAAGGGCCCTTCGCGGCAACCATAAAGCAGATTGGACCAGGTGTAGGGGCCCCACGCCAACAGAAGAGAAGACAGATTGCCCAGGGTAGAGGTCGGGGATTTTCCCAACAGTGAAGGAACAGTTGCCTGCCCTTGGGGGCAAGATCAAGAAAGCCAACAGTTTATTAAGAAAACTTTGAATCCTTGTTATTTGTTCAGTAATAAAGATTTTGTTGCATCTTTAAAGACTTTCAAGCCCATCTTTTCAGGAAAATCCCAAAAAACCTCTCTGAGGCAACCCCGGCGTCCCGTTGGGCTAACAGAATTTAAGTCCTGTTTACAGTCTTTTATAGGAGCACAGCGCGCGACAGCACAGATTGACTTTTAGTAAAAACAATAACAAAAATCACAAGCCATTTCATGCATGCCTTTGAAGCTAGACTGGCTTCTTCATCAAAGGATGTTTAAAAATCTTGTAAGAGAAGAAGTGACATGTCTACATTTTGTTTCTAGTATTGTTAAGTTGGTCTGGAGGGATCACAATGCAGGTGGGGGGGATCGCTCTCCATTTCTGGCCACGTGAAAGATGAGACAAAGGGCAGCAAAATGTAAACTCCATTAGCAGCAGTAAAGTAACTTGGTCCCATTTTCAGCGGGAGCACTCATCAAACCATTTAAGTTTCCCTTATTGTGCCATCTAAGTGTGGGCACTTCAGCCTCCCTGGTTTCTTTGCTTTCTAAAACACCATTAATATTTTTTTCCGAAAACAAAAAGGGGGGGGGGGGGGAACCTTGCTGGGAAAAGACCAAAACAGAAAAGCAAGCAAGCAAGAAAAGAAACCCAAAACAAAGCCTTGAGGAGAAAGTGCTCATATTTACATGACATATTAAACCGTGGAGGAAGAAGATTTGTGGCTCATTTACCTGTTCCTCCTGCCAGCTGGAGCCGTCGGGCAGCATGAAGCAGCACACTGCTTGTAACAAATAAGCCAAGGTTTCTGCTTTTTCTTGGCTTGTTGTGACCTACAACTTCAGTCATCAAGCTATGGTAATTAGGTATCTGGTGTTCATTTTTCTCTAACTATATGCAGTATTGTTTCTGAAAATTCACTGCTCGGTTGTTGGTATCTTCACTTCACTTCACTTTACTTCACTTAATTTCTTAATTAGTCGCTCTCCACCAAGGTGCTCCGAGCGACTTACAATTTAAAATAGCATTCACACAATATAAAAATATTCAACATAAAAACATACAACAGTGACTATTTGGCAAATTAGATCTTGCTTACTTACTTTACTTACTTACTTAGGCGATCCCTTGTGGCTCAAGGATGATTGTCTTCCAGATGTGGTGTCATGGTGATGGGTCCATAGGTGGCTATTCTTGATCTGCATGTTCTCCTGCAGTGAGGACACTGGTTTCCAGATGGAAGGTGGTCCCAGTCAGGGTTGGCTTGATGTGCCTTCCTCTTGGCATGCTTATCTCTCTCGCCCTCCATTCGTGCCTCTTCAAATTCTGCAGCACTGCTGGTCACAGCTGACCTACAGTTAGAGCGCTCAAGGGCCAGGGCTTCCCAGTTCTCGGTGTCTATGCCACAGGTTTTAAGGATGGCTTTAAGCCCATCTCTAAATCTCTTTTCCTATCTACCAATGTTATGTTTCCCGTTCTTGAGTTCGGAGTAGAGTAGCTGCTTTGGGAGATAGTGGTTGGGCATTCAGACAATGTGGCCAGTCCAGCGGAGTTGATGGCGGAGGAGCATCGCTTCAATGCTGATGGTCTTTGCTTCTTCCAGCACAGTGACATTTGTCTGTCTGTCTTCCCAAGAGATTTGCAGGATTTTTCGGAGGCAGCACTGATGGAATCGTTACAGGAGTTGCATGTGGCATCTGTAGACAGTCCAGGTTTATAGCAGGATTGGGAGGACAATGGCTTTATAAACAAGTAGCCTGGTCTACCTACGGATGTCCCGGTCCTCAAATACTCTGCTTCATTCGGAAAAATGCTGCACTCACAGAGTTCTGGCGGTGTTGTATTTCAGTGTCAATGTTGACTTTTGTGGAGAGGTGGCTGCTGAGGTAGTGGAAATGGTCAACATTTTCTAATGTTACATCATGAAGCTGTATTTCTAGCATTGGAGAAGGATTGGCTGGTGAGTACTGGAAGAGCACTTCGGTTATCTCGATGTTCAGTGAGAGGCCGAGCTTCTTGTATGCTTCTACAAAGGTGTTTAGAGTGGCTTGCAGGTCTTCTTCTAAATGCGCACAGATAACATTGTCTTCAGCATATTGGAGTTCTACAACAGATGTTGGGGCTTTGGTTTTGGCTTTCAGTCTGCTGAGGTTAAATAGCTTGCCATCTGTCCGATAGATAATTCCCACTCCGGTGGGAAGCTTCCCGTCAACAAGATGAAGTATCATAGTGATGAAGATGGAAAATAAGGTTGGGGCAATAACACAACCCTGTTTGGCACCTGATTCCACCTTGAATGGGTCACTTTAGGAGGCATTGCTATCCAAGACTGTTGCCATCATGTTATTGTGGAGGAACCGCAAGATGTTCACAAATTTGTCAGGGCACCCAATTTTTTGGAGGATCATCCAGAGAGCACTGCAATTCACTATGTCGAATGCCTTGCAAGGTCAATGATGCTCATGTCCCAGTGGTATGCTAGAATGTGGCCTCATATATAACATGGTAAAATCACTGGTTGCCTTTTGGGGGAAAATTGGGATATTTTCAGACCATGGATGGAGCCATGGACGCAGAATCCATGGATACATATGGCTGACTCTCCTACGGAATAGTTAGGGAATTCCGCCTTCCTAATACATTTTCTACATCAACATCTTTCCCTAGAATGTTATTTTTTCCTTGAAAATGATATTACTAGATATTACTAGTTTTGTTTTTTACAAAAACATTTCCTAAAGAATATGAATGCTGTATGTTGTTTTTTTCTTCTTCTCAGGGGAATCTTTCTGCTGTTGTGCATTTACTAAAAAATGGAGCAGACCCCAATGTTAAAGACTATGCTGGATGGACACCACTGGTAAGGATAAGTTATTGTTACCTTCATTCTTCCTCATTCATTTCAGTGTGCTTGCTCTCTGGTTAATTTGAAAAAGCTTTTAGCTGGATGTGTAATGTTCGTTCCTTTTGTCAATGTGCTTTTAAATGTGATTTGAATATGTTTTGACTGTTTACTTGATTTTTGTTATGGTTATCCATTTGAATATTAACATTGTCTGGGGGGAAAGTGAAGTATAAATCAAATAAATACATGAATATAGAGCCAAAAAGGTACTTTCTCGAGTCTGGATGCCTGTACTGCCGCACCTTTCCTTTTTGCGTCTCCGCTTTAATTGCTCTTGATGAGGATACAATCTTAGTTATTTTTATAACCTTTGTCACTCTTGTAAACCTTGCTACTTGATGTTACTATATTCATTTTTAAAGTTTTTTTTTTCATCTAAAGTGAGGGCAGCACCTCAGCTTTCAATGTACTTGTATTGCATTTTCAAATTCAAGGGAAATTGCAGGTTGGAAATAGTCCCTTTTGTGACTACTAACTCTGGAAATATACTTCTGATGGATACGATATGAAAATTGCTCCATTTTGTTTTACTTCTGAAGTAACCATGTTCATGTGAGTTTTTATCCATCACTTATAGTGAAGATCTCTAGAGTTAATGGTTTCCAGTAATTCAAGCTACTTTCGGAATTGGTCTCAGCTGAAAAGTGGGGGTAGAACTCTAATGAATAAAATTTGAGATTTTTTATATTTATCACTGTCATGAAGATCAAATCTGACTTTTTAATGGACTGGCTTCTTATTCACTCTTAGGATTCTAAAGCATGTTTTTGTGTTTTGCTTTGATCCAAATCAACATTTAGCACGAAGCCTGCAATCATGGACATAAGGACATAGTGGCATTATTGTTGCAGCACGGGGCACTGCTGAATGCGACCGGTTATCAGAATGATTTGCCACTTCACGATGCAGTCAAGAATGGACATCTGAGCATTGTTAAACTCTTGCTTTCTCATGGCGCTTCTCGAGATGCAGTGTGAGTAGAGCTGAAAACTGTTTATTTCTTGCTTATTCCGTTAATGGAGATACAGCAGTGAGGACTAGCTCTCTGTGAGACCAGGGTTTGTGCTGTTCTTCATGAAAGAAGAGGAGGAAAAATATTCCCCAGTATTCAGATTTCCGCATACAGGAACCTATACGGTTAGATAGACACTGATAGATACTCTCTTGACACAGAATTTTCTTTGAATTGGAAGTTCCTTCTTACCCTGAAATATTCCAAATATGAAGATTTAGCTGCAGCCTCAATGGATATCTACTGGACATGGATTTGCTCTTATAGGAAGAATTGTTCTGGAGGTTGTTGTTGTTCATTCGTTCAGTCGTTTCCGACTCTTTGTGACCTCATGGACCAGGCCACGCCAGAGCTCCCTGTTGGCCGTCACCTCCCCCAGCTCCTTCAGAGTCAAGCCAGTCACTTCAAGGATGCCATCCATCCATCTTGCCCTTGGTCAGCTCCTCTTCCTTTTTCCTTCCATTTTCCCCAGCATCATTGTCTTCTCTAAGCTTTCCTGTCTTCTCATGATGTGGCCAAAGGACTTCATCTTTGCCTCTACTATCCTTCCCTCCAATGAGCAGTCGGGTTTTATTTCCTGAAGTATGGACTGGTTGGATCTTCTTGCGGTCCAAGGCACTCTCAGGACTTTCCTCCAACACCACAGTTCAAAAGCATCTATCTTCCTTCGCTCAACCTTCCCTATGGTCCAGCTCTCACATCTGTAGGTGACTACGGGGAATACCATTGCTTTGACTATGTGGCTCTTCGTTTCCAGTCTCTACACTATTTTATCAAGACTGGTCATTGCTCTCCTCCCCAGAAGTAAGTGTCTCCTGATTTCCTGGCTGCAGTCTGCATCTGCAGTAATCTTTGCACCTAGAAATACAAAGTCTGTCACTGCCTCCACGTTTTCTCCCTCTGTTTCCCAGTTGTCAATCATTCTTGTTGCCATAATCTTGGTTTTTTTTTATGTTTAGCTGCAACCCCGCTTTTGCACTTTCTTCTTTCACCTTGATTAGAAGGTGAAAGCTCCTCCTTGATTTCGGCCATCAAAGTGGTGTCATCTGCATATCTAAGGTTGTTAATGTTTCTTACAGCAATTTTCACCCCAGCCTTGCATTCGTCAAGCCCTGAACTTGTTCTGCATGCAAGTTGAATAGGTTGGGTGAGAGTATACAACCCTGCCGTACGCCTTTCCCAATCTTGAGCCAGTCTGTTGTTCCATGGTCAGTTCTGACTGTTGCTACTGGGTCCTTATACAGATTCCTCAGGAGAGAGACAAGGTGATTTGGTATGTCCATACCACCAAGAACTTGCAACAATTTATTATGATCCACACAGTCAAAGAATAATAGAATCCTAGAGTTGGAAGAGACCTCATGGGCCATCCAGTCCAACCCCCTGCCAAGAAGCAGGAATATTGCATTCAAATCACCCCTGACAGATGGACATCCAGCCTCTGTTTAAAAGCTTCCAAAGAAGGAGCCTCCACCACACTCCAGGGCAGATAGTCCCACTGCCGAACGGCTCTCACAGTCAGGAAGTTCTTCCTCATGTTCAGATGGAATCTCCTCTCTTATAGTTTGAAGCCATTGTTTCACGTCCTAGTCTCCAAGGAAGCAGAAAACAAGCTTGCTCCCTCCTCCCTGTGGCTTCCCCTCACATATTTATACATGGCTAGCATGTCTCCTCTCAGCCTTCTCTTCTTCAGGCTAAACATGCCCAGCTCCTTAAGCCGCTCTTTATAGGACTTGTTCTCCAGACCCTTGATCATTTTAGTCGCCCTCCTCTGGACACATTCCAGCTTGTCAATATCCCTCTTGAATTGTGATGCCCGGAATTGAATACAATATTCCAGGTGTGGTCTAACCAAGGTGGAATAGAGGGGTAGCATGACTTCCCTAGATCTAGACACTATGCTCCTATTGATGCAGGCCAAAATCCCATTGACTTTTTTTGCCTCCACATCACATTGTTGTCCACGAGGACTCCAAGATCCTTTTCACACTTGCTGCTCTCGAGCAAGGCGTCCCCATTTTGTATCTTTGCATTTCTTTTTTCCTGCCAAAGTGGAGTATCTTGCATTTGTCACTGTTAGATTTGTCACTGTTTTGTCACTTGCATTTGTCACTGTTAGGCTTTAGAATAGTCAATTAAACAGAAATAGATGTGTTTCTGAAACTGTCTTTCTCCATTATCCATTTTTCACCTAAAGACTCATAGTGGGACTTGCAGGTAATCCTTCCAAAACCAAAATGGAAGTTGTTTTTTTTCTTTCTTGTAGGAATCTTCTTAGAGAGCAAAACAAAGTAAAAGCTCCTTGTGTTGTGGAAACATTGGAAGTCCATGATACTTCCAAGAACAGATTCTCCCCCCTTTTTTTTATATTAAAAATATCAGGGAATCTAGGAGCAAAAGAAATGAGCTTGCAGAGCTTCATGCTGAAACTTGGACCATTCCTGCAGTATCGCAACATTTGGAAGGCTTTAGGCTAAATGAGAATTTGAACGAACATTTCTCTGATGTCCCAAAATAGTCAACATCGGTATCCCTCTCCCACAATTTTAAAGGGGAAAAAATGTTTTCTGTTTGAGTTGAGTTGAGATTTTACATTTTCAAAACCACCTTTAAAACGCAACAATTAAATCTTTGAAACAACTAAATTAGCTAAGTCTAGACAGCCGAAGACCTCTAGTCCCCTCAGTGGGCCTGTGTGGACGTAATGTTCTGTAATCCCTTGAGTCTATTCTAGACCTGCATCGTGAAATCTAAGCCCTTCAAATAGCAGTCCGGCTATTTGTAGCATATCTAGCCTTGTGATATCTTTTTTAAAAACTCTTTGCCCTCTTCTGTGTTTGTATAAATGGATGTTTCTATAAATTGTTTTCTGATTACTGCTGTATGCACCTTCTAGTGCCAATTGTTGCAGACAATGCCACCTAGAAATTTCTGAAATAGGTTTCTAAGTGATTTTCTTCCTTGGTTGCTTCTTAATGACAGTGCGAAGTAAATGTCGACACACACTTTGCTTAAATCCCCACTTTTCCATTCCAGTCAGGAAATAATTGCATGGAAATAAAGTCAAATTACAATATGTGAAATGGTGAAAATGTAGTGAGTTCAATAACTGGTCCTTGGTTTTAGAAAACCTGCCAAAGTCACCCAAACATCTTCCATAGTGAGCATCCATAAGTTGGTTATAGATAAAAAGACCAAGGAGAGAATATTAATGCACACTTGGGGATGGATACATGCACACTCGGGATGAATGTACATACCTATTTTGATACACTTTAGTTTATAGAATTTCTTTTTAATTTGAAGGATGGGTTTAGAAGTTGGTGGAAATCATTGTAATGATTTGTGTCACATGCTGCAGACAAAAGAGACAACCTTTATGCATCCAGTATTTTTCTTACTTTGTGTCCAGGCCACAAAGTAAGCTAAGTTTGAAATCGAATGTGGGTCTGCTGTTAATTTTTTTAGAAAAATTAAAACTTACTAATGTGCAACCTGTTAGGGATATTTAAAGCAACTTGTTGAATCCCAGCCAATATATATTATGTAGCATTCATAGGTATAGTTAGACTGTATAATAGGAGGGGAAAACTTAAGGGTCTCGTAATCCCCTCCTCATTGTTTTGCAGATACCTGACCTGCAAAAAAAGGATCACACAAATAATGAGCCTTTCCTTTGCCAAAGAAAGTTGGCTCTGCCAAAAGATTTTTTGGGAAGCGTTATATTCATTTTAAAAATGATGCACATGCATGCATGGACACATCATTTTTGGAAACGGTGCAGTCCACAGTTGGTTGGTGAGGGCAACATTTGCCACTGGAGATAACAAACTTTGCATTTTCTGCTGTGTAACAATGGATAATGTCACACCCCTCATAAACTTGCACAGAACAACTAATGAATGGAGACTCCTGGCCAAACCTCTTTTCTCTCTCTACCGTTGTGGGGGCTCCTGGCTAAAACTCCTTTCCTGTCTGTACCCCTGGAGTGTAGTTAGTGAGGAGGCAGATGGGGAGAATGAATGACACCTGGATGTACTTGATCTGCTATTTGGAAGCATTAGCTAAGTGTGCTTTACCCCTCCTCCATCTTCTACATGTGAGGAAGGTGGAGAAGAGAAGCCAACTACATGTGCAGAGGACTCCTAGATATACACGTTAGTATTCACTTCTTTTTTTTGCAACCTGAAAAAAGGTGGAAGAGGAGCAAACCTTGGTCTTTAGCCAAGGACTCAGTGACATCAACTATGGACATTATTTGTGACATCATCACAGGAGTTATAACACCATCATAGGAGCTGGTGGAAACTATTTATTTATTTATTTATTTATTTATAACTTTTGTATACCGGTCTTCTCAACCTCCGCAGAGGGACTCAGTCCGGTTCACAACAAAAGATTCATAGACAATAATTTAAAACATCACATCCCATAATTCACTAAAACATTAAAATACAATCATATAATTACATAATGCCAAATCGTCAAAATGAAGTCACAATTCATCATCCGTCCGTGTGGTCAAGAGTTATTGACTCACTCATCAAATGATAAATTCCAGAGCCAGGTTTTCACCAGTTTTCTAAAGGTCAGGAGAGAAGGGGCAGATCTAATCTCCAGTGGGAGAGAGTTCCAGAGCTGAGGGGCCACCACCGAGAAGGCCCTGTCCCTCGTCCCCACCCAGATGCGATTGCGAGGGTGGTGGGACCGAGAGCAGGGCCCCTCCAGAAGATCTTAACAACCTTGATTCTTCATAGGGGAGAATCCGTTCAGACAGGTAAACTGGGCCGGAGTCGTCTAGGGATTTATATGTCAACACCAGCACTTTGAATTGTGCTCGGAAGCTAATTGGCAGCCAGTGGAGCTGGCGCAACAGAGGAGTAGTATGCTCCCTGTACCTCACTCCTGTTAGTAATCTGGCTGCCGCTCGTTGGACTAATTGCAGCTTCCGGGCAGTCTTC